CTGTAAAACGTTCTAACCCTGAAACCAGATGCTGTTACCATAGAGACAAGTGAAATGCTACCGTGGGAGGCAAATCAGGGGAGGGAAGGTGGAGGGAGGTGGGAGGGCAAGTGAGGCGAATCTAAAGGCTAGCATACCCAGAGACCTTCAACCTTTAGCAGCACTGTGACGAGCAGGCTTGCGTTCTTGAAACTTGTGTGCTGGCGGCCTGCCACTTGCTGACTGGCTGAGTGGCAGCTGCTTGCGTGGTGCAGACTAGCTAGTGAGCACGTTGGCAGTTGGCGCGGGTTCTGGGGGTGGGAACTCAGAGGGGTGGAATGTCGATGGGTGCTCAAGGCCCAGTGGCTGACAGTTTTGCACAAATGTTTCTCGTGCCGGGCTTAAGTCACCCTTACAAGCCTGCTCAGTGATTAGGACAGGCTGGTGAAAGCCGGTCCGTTTGGCAGCAGATTTGACAAGTGCTACAGTTAAATCATTTTAGTGTCCTAGAATAAAGGAGAATAAGAAAAATCCTGCTGTGAGTATGGATTTCTGTAGAAGATGCATAACTTCTACTGTCAGTGGTCCTGTTAAAGGAAGGCAGTACTGGCGCCAAGTGGATTGTACACTGAGTGGTGTGACCCTTATCCCCGTGATGCTGGTGAGAAGCTTCCAAATCTATTCTGAACTTTGCTCCATGCTGGTGATGTGAGCAACCTAGGAGCTGTTTAGAAGCGTGCTTCTTCCTTTCCTTGTTTTCAGCAAATGCAGGACATGTGAAAAAATGGATTTGGGGGTCTGATTAACTGGATGAGTTAATGTCTTCTTACTGATTGATAGAGGGAAACTGGTTGGGTCTGATGGTCATTTAAAAAGACATCTCTGTCTTACTAATAATAGCAAGCAACTGCTGAGAGGATTTGGGGTGAAGGGACACAAACACAAATAATTGACATTGTGATGTAAAGATGGAAAAAAAGATGGAAAGTCCTGTGGTTTGTGCAGAAGCCCAAGTGCACCAGGCTAGACTTACTCCTGAGGAGTGAGGGCTGCTCTGGGGAAAGACCACCTTGGATAGACAGGTTTTGTATTTTCAGTTTGCCTCATTAACCTCTTTTCACTTCCTACAGGGAAGAGGCTGGTTGTAGATATTTTGCGTGGTCCATCAGAAAGAACTAAGTTTCTAGTTATTTCTGGAGGGAATGTGAAATATGCATCAAAGAGCCAAGGAACTCACCCATCATCGCTCTCACTCTCTAATTCAGATGGAACATTGGGACAGTGCTTCAGATAGGCTGGGTGGTTTTTTCAGTTTGGGAAGAGGGCTTGGAGCATTAACTTTTCTACCTCCCCTTCCAGTTGTTACTGTTTCTCTTTGTTTCCTTCCTCTTTGGTTGTTGCATGTAATTTTTGGAAGGATTTAGACATCAATGTAAAACATTTAATTTAGGAAATATGTAAGAAGACAAAAAGACTTTAGGAATGGCTGGATGAGTGGTGGGGTGCAAAAATGACATTCTGTATGAAAGGGTCTTGGATTCAGTATGCTGATGGAACTGGAAGAGGGTTAGTTCTGAGACGACATCAGAGCTAAACCACTCTGTTTTCCAAAGGAGAGATAGTATAATTAGTGTACATGCAGAAGTATGGGGGTCTAGGATTTTGTTGTGCTTCTGAGGTCTTTTAATTTTCCTAGTAAACTGTCATTCTTACTAATGTCTATAAATGCTGTATAACCAATGGATTCTTCCTTGATGCCAGGGGAAGTCTTTGAGAGGGCAGATATGCTTGAGCTCTTATCTATTTTGCTTATCACTGTTCCTCTGGTGCTTGAAATGTGCGTGGCTGGTAGTAGGTATGCAGTAAGTACTTAACCGAGAGCATGAATGGAAAAGGGTAAGAAAGGGAAAAGGGAACGGTTGAATATCCTCTCTGTGCCTCCCATTGATAATGAGTGTGGTTTGCTCCTTTTGTTCTGGTCATAGTCACCGGTGTCCTCCATATTGCCAAATCCAATTCTTACTTCCCTGTCTCCATCTTTCTCAGCAACGGTACTCTCCTCATTCTGTGACTTCCATGAAATCGGTCTTGACTGTTTTCCCCTCTTACCTCATTGGCTCTTTTTGTTCCATTGCTCTACTTGTAGATGTTTCAGCACTTATTATTAGGTCTGCTCCCTCCTCTACATTTTCTTCTTGTGTGATCTCATCTAGTAAGAGTTTAAGCACTAGCTTCATTCATTGATGGTCCAGATTTTATCTCTAGTCCTGAGCTCCTGCGCTCTAGGCTCAGGCATCTAGTAGTGCCCCTGACAGCTCCCTTCTTTCTCTTTATCTCTCTCTCTTTTTTAATATTTATTTTTTAGTTGTAGTTGGACATCATACTCTTATTTTATTTATTTATTTTAAAAAATGTAGTGCTGAGGATTGAACCCAGAACCTTGAATGTGCTAGGCAAATGCTCTACCACTGAGGCCACTACCCCAACCCCTCTCTTAAAAAAAAAAACACACAAAAAACAAACAAAAAAAAAAACACCCCAAAACACATAAGATAAGCATCTTGACCTTAGAGTGTCCAAACAGAACTCTTGATTCTTTCCCAACAGCCTCTTTCTCCCTTAGGCTCCCATGGTTCCTGTGCATTTCCTAAACTCTTTGTCCTCTAACCCTTTATACAGCAGCCAGAGTGATCTTTTAAACAGGTAAATCAGCTCAAGTCACTGTCCATCTTGAAACTCTTCAGTGGCTCCCACAATGTCTCTAATTCCTTATCATGGCCTGCCTGTCCCCAATTCTTTCCAGTTTCATATCCTGCGGTTGACCTTCTCTCTTACCCAACTTCACTGACCTCGTTTCTGTTCCTGGAACTTGCTGAATTTGTTCCCACCTTAGGGCCTTTCTATTTCCTTTGCTTGGAATGCTCTTTCTCCAGATTTCCACAGGGCTGATTCCTTCCTATCATTTTTGTTGCTGCTTAAATGTTACCTCCTCATCAGAACCACCCTGTGCTGAGTAGCCCCTGTCTCATTTTACTTTCTGCAAAGGTCTTAATGCTATCTGAGGTTACCTTGTTCATCTAGTCATTGTTCGTGTTTTTGGAAATTTTTCTTTCACAGGCAGCAAGTAGAATATGCTGTATCATTTAGTCTTCTTGAGAACCTGAAGCTCAGAGAGATTGGTAAATGATTTGACTCCTTAAGTCTGTAAGGCATTTTCTTTCCCACCATAATCCTGATGACTGACCTGTAACCTGTTTTATGTATTTAGTTTGAGTAACGTGAAGAAATGATCCTGATATACATCAGGATGAGCCTTTACAAACAAGGCCCTTGTCCCTGAGGGAAGAAATCTTGCACGTGACCAAAGGTAATGATTTCCACAGTGATGTTGTCCACCAGTGGTTCATCAAGTTAAAAAAGAAAGAAGAAAGAAACAAAGAAGGAAACATTTATTAAACAATGTAGTATGTGCAAGATCACGTGCTAAAATGTTTTTGGGTGTATTATCTAATCTCAAAGCAATCAACACAAGTTTGATATCATTGTGTTGAATTGATGCAAAGTTGATATCATTACCTCGATTTTATACATGGAAAAACAGGCTTGAACAAGTCAAGTACTTTGCTCCAGGTGGCATTGCTACTAAGTGGTAGAACTAGATTCTTTTAAACACAAGGCTACTTGACACCAAATTTCTGACTTTTTATGCTTAAGATGGTTGCTTTGTGAGGTGAATATGCTCCCAAAATAGTAAGAAGGAAAATATGAATTCAGTGCATAACCACATAGATTATAACAAATATCTGAAATACAAGAATAAGTTATAGAGACAATATGGAAAGCAGACTTGCCGTATTCAATGCCTAAGCATATAATTGGATGAATAGAATACAGAGTGAACATTTGGTTCTCTGGCAGGGCTCATGTACGGTATGACATAGAGCAGCTGTCCCCAGAGAAAGTTCTTTGTTTCTAGACCGGTACTACACAAGCAGCATTTGAGCAATTCTGGATTTCTTTCTGCTTTTGCTATAAATAGAGTTCATGGAATTCTGTATATCAAAGTTAAATGCAATGAAAAGGAGCCACAGAGTATGGAAATAAAGCTTAACTCATTCTATAAACTAGAAACATGTTTGGCATCGGGAGGCTGTAAAAAACGCTGTCATTCCTTGGATGGATTCTGAGGTCTTATTTAGCATATGAAATTGCAGAGTAGATCCTATTATGTAAGGAGACAGGAGGACAGCATAATGTGGTTACAAAATGAAGAACTTTCAGGGAAGAGTTAACAGGGCAGATAAACATATAGAGAGACGTGTGATAAGAATGTGGAAAATGAATGAATGAGCGGCATGTATATGTGCCTATTGCCGAAGCCGGGTTGCTGGATAATCCTCAGATGTCAGATTTCCGTAAGGCCAACATGTGACTCAAAGCTTGCCACTCAACAGAGAATACTGGGCTGTGCTGGTATTAAGAGGCTGGCTGGAAGCTAGGCTCCCACTGTGCATTAGCCTAACTCCCTGTCGCTCTCTGCATGTGGGTGGGTGTGCATGTGTGTGTGTGAGGGTATACATTTTGTGCAGTGGGTGTTTAAAGAGCTAAGCACTGAAACTGGATTTCCACAAACGATCATCACGAGCACTCCAGACACACCAAACTTCCTCTCTTGGTATTTTTTTTTTTTTTTTGCTTTCATCATTTTTTTTCTTTCTTTTTGCAAATCCCAAGAGGGGAGCACCCCACCATCCAGCCTCCAGGATTGGGATTATTTTTTCTTACCTGTCCATGTGGGTGCCCTCTCAAGGTTAGAGCTGAAGCTATGTGGGGCCGGCATATTCTCAAGCACCAGATGAGAGGAGCTGCATGAAGGAGTAGCAGCCACCAAAGGAAGAGAGACTCTGCCCTGTTAACATGAACAACAGCTTGCAGGTTAACCTGCCCAGGAGCTGGGCTGCTTCAAGTGGCTCACTCCAGGAGAAGTCTGAGCATTCTTTTTTTCTCTTTTATTACTATAGGATGGAGGATGAAGCTGTCCTGGACAGAGGGGCTTCCTTCCTTAAACATGTGTGTGATGAAGAAGAAGTAGAAGGTGAGCTTTTGGGGTCTGGGAAAGTATATTCATATACATATGTCTCTGTAGCATCTGCCCATTTCATATAGCATACGAAAGTTAAAAACCAAAGCTTATCTATGGAGTTGCTTTAATCTCTACATTTTGCTTTAACACAGAAAGTAATTTTAAGAACTTCATTGGTTCCTCAGAATCTAAATGAGTGTGGTATTACCTCTTATTTTTTTTTAAGTCTTATTTTAAAGCAGATACCAGTGTTATCTCTGCCTCTCCATCAAAACTAAATATTTTACTAGATAAAATTAACCACCTTTCAATGACTAATTCCAGGGAGCTGCTAGATTTATATAAATGAATTTGGCAGCTCCTTCTAATATTCTTTTCTGTGGCTTGTAGGGGAGAGAAACAGATGTTGCAGAAGAAGGTGAATACCATTGTTATAGGAAAAATGGGTCTAAGCTGAGGATATTAAAAGTGGTAAAATGGCTGAGTTTTAGTTAAGAAAAGATGGACAGGCATTTTTTTTAATTTAAAATTAAGCCTCCAGGACCTCTTTCACTAAAGTTCCCCAGTGTCTGTTAAAAACTAAAGAAAAGGTATATTTTAACTGGTGCTGTGATGCTTTCAGTATGCATCTCCTTCTCTTGTCCCTGGATAGATCAGTACTGTGGACATAATGCTGCTTATTTGACAGTGAGAAGACAGGGCTTCCTTAATACTTACTAAAGTGTTTATGTGGAGGAATCGCAGATATACAAGTTATTATTGATATTTATAGTGACATTTTATAAAATAATCAGAGTTAAATGAAACTTGCAGATGAACCCTGTGATCAATTCTACCTATTAAAATCACCCGAGGGACAATTTATATGTGTTTTGGAGACTTTATCTGACTACTGTCATTTTCATAAGCATTTAAGTGCCTCTAAAAATCTTGGAACAGAGAGTGGTGTGTTGGAAAAAGAGGGTCTTGTGTGTTCTGGAGTGACTCCTCAAGTGAACAGAACACCAGGTCCAGGGCAAGTGATGCTCCTTACCACCTGGGATGACCTGAATAGTATGAACAGTCTCAGGCTGTTTCTCATGATTCTTGGTACCCTCCCCCCACTTCCCGCATTTATGCTCTTGAGACTGACTAATAAGAATTTGATGCCTAAGTTTCTTAGGAAAACGGAAACTTTCTCTCATATTGTTTTATGGGTTCCTTGCATTTTTACAGCACAACTGTGGGAAAATTTCAAGCTGGAGAAAGCCAAATAGCAAAACTTTTGTCTTAAGAGTTGTGTAATCCATGTTAAATCTTCATTGTAGTGACTCTGTCACTGTCAAAGAGGAGATAAAACCATTACAATTACAGCATAAGAAATAATATAGGTTTGAGTGACTATCCTGTAGTGTTGGGACAATTAAAGTGGAAACAACTTGGGAATGAGAGGTACTGGGTGTGTGTTTTCCTTTGAGAATAAAGTCCTAGTTGAATTCACAGGAGATGTAAATCTTGAGTTTATAAGTTTGTAGGATTGACAGCACACTACTGCAGTAGAATAGTGTGTGCAGTTTCTTAAAGCTTTGACGAAGAAGTTTATTTCCTGAATTATTTCCCATGACTTTCAAACACAAAATTGGGTAGAAACAAAAAGACAACCAATGATGATTGAGATACATGTAAAATTCAAGAAGTGTGTTGGCTTTGTGGGGTTAAACTTGCCACATGAATTTTGTGCATTTTCTCATTCTTATAAGGTCTCTATATTAAAGGTATCTTTCATTGATTGGTGCCTGGGGCTCATTACATTTCTTTCAGGGCACACTTAGTTGCCTGTTGTTGAAATCCTGAGGCCCAAGTAGGATGATTGTTGCTTTTGGTGTTAGCATTTGGTACAGAACTTCCAAGAATGGAGGCACTCCTAAGTAGAAGTCTTGATACAACAGTTGGGAACAGTTCATTTCTATTTGACCCTCCCCTTTTCGCATCTGTCTTCATCTGATGGAAGTGGAAGGACTCATGTTTTATAATGGCTCTAGGTGAAGTTGAAAAGCACATAGTTTTGATGGCATATCTGTGGTTCCAGTGGTTGAGAGCTAAGAAACAAGTGACTCGGTTGTCTAGACATTTGACAAAGAATCACACATAAAGGGGGGTGTTTTTCTAATGAATCTATCTCATATTTTGATTGTATAAAGAAGGTTGTGTTTGAAAGAAAGCAAAGAGTTATCTGGATTCTGAAAATCTTTGTTTCTGGTACATTTATGGCAGAAGTGAATGCTCCAGTTAAAGAATCAGGAATTCAAAAGACAAGGAGTTGGAACACCTTAGGTGTATATTTTCAAATACAAGTAGTTATTTTATCCAAGTAAGTATTTCCCTTGCTTCTAGGATAAAAATAATTAAAGTATATTGCAGCATACTTGGAAAAAAGTAAACTTAAAACTTCGTTTTTTTTTCTTTTTTTAGTAATCTGCAAAAATAAGATGTATTTTCATTAAGTGATTATTTATGTGATGAATGTCCAATAGTTCTATTATTTTGGATGTTTATGCATTAAAAATACTTCTTAGCATCAGCTCAGCCTGATGCTCTCTCCTAGTTCCTTCTAATTCTGTAGTTCTGAGAAGGGGAGAGAGACCGAGAGTTCAAACCACGCCTTCAGTTCACCTTGTTCAACTCTGTTCTCAGTGGGTGGCATGACACTTAATCCACATTCTCAAAACTCAACAAAAAACCATCATTTGCAAAACTCAGTAAGAATAGAGTGAGTCAGAAGAGGAGTCATCTTTTGTTTCAATAATGAATTTATCTATGTGGTGTATATTTAAAGACCTAAACCTTGTTTTCATATAATTTCCCTCATGTGTTAATGGCTTAGAGGTATCTTCTCTAAAAAGGAAACCAAGTGCCCATTTTAATCTTTAAAATAAATTGAATTCTTTTTTTGTTTGTTCCTTTTATTGGTTACCTTATGTATGATTTTATAAAGTGAACATTTTGGGAAGGGACTGTATTAGTTTATTTAACATTTTGGCATTTCAGATATTAATATTTGTTTCTGTACCAAAAGCTCCCACTTCTTCCTAGGTGCTTCTAGAGAATTGGTCTGTAGATGACAAATTAACATTATTGGAATGACCCAGAAATGTTGACCATGAAGGACAGCCACTCATTTCAAACACAGATGGGGAAATTGCCAGGTTTGGTTGGGTGAGCCAAGATTGAGACAGGAAGCAAGAATCCTAGGAAGCAAGAGTCCCAGGTAGCTATTTGCAAACTGGAGGAAATCCTATGGATATTTTATTCTTTACAAAGTCAGCTTGGATTTTGAATCTGTGTGATATAAACAGATTACTTAATATTCTCAAATTTCGCAATAGGGGAAAAGAGCAAACTCCACCTTATCCTTTGAGATAAGACCTTGGCTCTGCAAGGCTAGGTAACTCCCCAGGGACCTTGGCAGCTTTGACTTCGTGAGGAGGGGCCTCTTAAATCAACTCCAAACAGCAACTCAGGAAACATAAAGCACAGCAAGACAATATGGTCTGAAATGTGTCTCCATTCCTGAAGCCTGATCGGCGGTCTCTTAAAGCTGTTATGCTACCTCATGATGGTTTCCCTTCAAAACTGAGTCCAACAGGAAGTATGCTCCCACCTGTCCGCATGGAAAAATAATGCTACAAATTCTACCATCTACTGAGGGTCACTAAGAGAGGGAGCATTTTTGCAAATGTGTGGAGTTTACAGAAGGGTTTTTTTTTGGAAATAAATAAAAGAAAAAAAGTAGGACAGGGCTTGGGATAGAGTAGATACTAAATATTTGTTAAAAGAACGAATAAGTTAAATAAAGCATATGTAGAATTTATATAATCCTCTTAAATCTTTAAGTTTTTAGTTAGAAACTTAGTTCTCTTAGTACTTTTATCAAAGGAGATGATGATATAGTCTCTAATGATCTTATCCTTGGTATTACTTCTGTTTGATTTCACAAAGATCATTATCATTATATATTTATATTTATATACATATATTTATATTGATAAGAAAAAGAAACTCTGAAGACACCACTGCTTTATCCTCTTTTGTTGTTCTGCTCTAGCTTTTTAAAAAATTTCTTACATACATCACAATAGAGGATTGTGAGATGGGGTAGAGAGAGAAGATGGGAGGGGAGGGGAGGGGGGATAGTAGAGGTTAGGAAAGGTAGCAGAATACACCAGTTACTAATATGGCATTATGTAAAAATGTGGATGTGTAACCGATGTGATTCTGCAATCTGTATTTGGGGTAAAAATGGGAGTTCATAACCCACTTGAATCTAATGTATGAAATATGATATGTCAAGAGCTTTGTAATGTTTTGAACAACCAATAAAAAAATAATAAAAAAAACAATAGAGGAGTACATTACGTTTATAATTTTTTGCATTGCAATTCTTAATACACCTTTATACCACAATTTATCAAATCTCTGTTTGTATATAAGGTATGTTGACACCAAATTCACATCGTCATACATGAATTTTGTGTAATGATGACCGTCTCCTTCCACTATCGTTGCTATTCCCATTCTCCCCTTTCCCTCCCACCCCTATTCTCTATCTAGAGGGAATCTTCCTCGATTACTCTCCCTCCCAACCCCATTTTATGGACAGCATGTGTTTACTCGCTTATTTTATTTATTTATTTATTTTTTAAAATGCGGTGCTCAGGATTGAACCCAGTGCCCCACATAGGCTAGGCAAGCGCTCTGCCACTGAGCCCCAGTCCCAGCCCTTCTGCTCTAGCTTTTGAAGAGAGAGACTAAAAAGATGAAATGGTGGCTTTTGTCTTTTTGGAGGTCAACATTTAACTGATATGAAATCATAATGACTTAAACCTATTTTTTTGTTAGAGGGTTTTAGGATGATCTACTCTTTTGCATTGGAGGTAGTATTCTAATGGAAAAGTGGTAGGCATTTGTTAATAATTACAATGGTCCAAAATGTAATTGCTGAGAAGGAGTGAATGAAAACCTATCGGATGGGA